TGCGAATCTGGAGGGATTCTCCATTGCGCGATTCGATATTGGGTCTGGCTGCTGCTATTCCCAAGAGGAAGGCGATGATCAGGCGTGTAAAATGGGTGGATTTCATTCTGATCGCTGTTTTTGGTGTTAATGTTGTCCCCGACGGAATAGATTAACATACGTATCTGTGGATAAACAAGATCGGCCGTCGATCGTGGGACTCCCGAAGCGACTCGGTGATCGCTGACTGCTATTTATTTGGAGGTGAAGAACAAATCAGATGGCTGGGAGATGGGACTCCACTTGGATGAAACATGAATCGGAGTACTCATGTCTAGTTAATGGTAATTTTGTTTTATGGTACAGTTATTTGTAAAAAAAAAATCGATCTGTATATTAACTAATTGATCAGTCAAATCCTCGATATATAAATGACGTGGTGAGCAGACAACATTGGATTTTGATAGAAAGTGATTCATCCAGATCCACCGTACTCTTAATACGTAGTATGTATGGAATTGGTATTTACCCATCAATTTGGTGAACTCCTTCAATTGAATGAACTGCTAGCAATACAACAGACAACTCACACATGTACTATCCCCACCCCCATGAAGTAAACTCAGTCGGAATACACTGAACAGAGCGAATCTCGAATATGCCACCCCCGTTGCCTCCGCTTTGCCTTTCAGACTGCTGGCTATCAACTACACCGCAGTAGGACGAGCAGCAGCAGCAGTCACAGGCGTCCCCGAAGCCGTAATCGCCGAGCTAGACTGCTCAATAGACTTCGCATCAGGAATCACCGACGGCCCAGGCACAACATAATCGAGTGACTGGTAAATATTGACCAGAATGCCCGGGTCCGTCGCCTTGTACAGCTCCTTACCCGGCACACCCTCCGGCTTAGCAGTCCCCGAGCCGGTGATCTCCAGGTTAAAGCACTGCATATAGTTCTGCGCACCGTTCTCACTCCCCGCACTATGCAGGGCGATCGTCTCATGGCGAAGCACATAGTTGCCCGGCGCGATAGTCGGCGGGATCTGCACCATCCACGAGTTATTGTTCGCGATCATCTGGTCCGCGCCCCATACGCCGGGGGCAGGCTCCGGATCGACGAGACCGACGCCGTCGATCTTGAAGAACTTCAACGTGGTCTTGTCGACCGTCTCGCAGCTGCCGTCGCAGCGCGCGAGGTAGTCGAGCATGGGGCCGTGGTGGCTCTCGGGCCAGGGGGTCCATTGCAGGCTGATCTTGTCGCCGGCTGCGACGACGGCGTGGCCGCGCGCGTTGGTCGCGTCCAGGTGGCAGATGATGTCGTCGGTGGCGTAGGCGTCGGGCGAGACGAAGCCGTTGGCTGTGTTGGGCGTTTGCCAGGCGATCCGTACGGGTGGGTCGGGGTTGTAGGGGTCGGAGCCGATGTCCCACCCTGAGTAGCTGACGCCGTTGATCACGATGTTGGAAATGTGGCCGTGGGCGGCTACTTTGGAGGCTGACAGGAGGGTTGCCAGAAGGGCAGCCTTTTGCTTTGGATGCATGATGGTGGTAGTTTGGTGTTGTATAGGTATGATGATGTTTCTCTGTTCGACTCTGAACGAAGCGCAGCAGGCATTGGGCCTTTATGTAGATGTCTCCAGGCATACAGCGTCAATATTAGCCGGTTGTTCACAACACCATGAATGCATTTCCACCAACGACAGAAGATACTAGACACAAAACACGCCCCCCTCACTGAAGACTTGGCAGCGGTTCCTCAATCTCCCCAATGCCACTATTCCCACCTCCGGATAAACACAACTGCGACATTAAACCACCCCGCCTGGTGATTGAGCGCCACACGGAGATAGCGGTTTACCCTTCATTTGGCTCGGCCAAGTCCCGTTAATATAAAGACAGGCTGCAGGTGGTGGATTTATTCACCACATGGCAGCGCAAGCGCTGGGGAGGGGTGTTATATAGTTGCCAGACTGGGGTCTCTGGTCTAGAACGCCTAGTCGGGCTGCACTCCGGTCTTGGCTGATCCTGAGACATGGTCATCTGCAAGATGTGATGCCAGACTATTCTTGTTTCCCCACGGAGAAAAGCCCTGTCAAATTACGTTAGATTGCCGGTTCTTCAGCTTTTTGCTCGGCATCAAACGCGGGGTACAATCCTTTTCGCATCTATGGGCGCATCTATGGACTGCACATAGCAATTGATACACAGGAATGGCTAGACATGTGGTTGCGTGTGAAACACGTCGCAGGTCTGTCAATGCCGAGGTTTCTTATTCCGGATAGTCGGAGAGATCTTCCGTGTCATGGAACACTAGTACTCCCTTTGTCGATTTGGACAACACTGGCAACTATTGCACAGACGTCAACCGAGGTAGCTGGATTAATCTAATCTTGCATGACACCTTCATTGGATAAGTTTGAAGAATTATGATTTCTAACAGGACAAAAATGCACTAAGAAGATGGACCCATCCAAAATCCGTATCATCAGGGAGATTACATCCTCCGATGCATCTTCAATATTCGAGGTAGAATTAGATGGACAAGAATACGCATTCAAGCTGTTTCACGACAACGGCGACCCCGGATATACCCCCAACAGCCGAGATCTGAACCGGTTTCGCTGCGAACTCAACGCATATCAGAAGCTTCACACATCCGGCGTCTGCGCGCGCGGGTTCGTCCCAATATACCACGGCTCCATCGATCGCATCGACCCCGCAGCATTCCACCCTGCTCTTCAGCACTTCGCTCAAGACAAGCTAAATCCAAGCGCAATATTGCTAGAATACTTCCCCCACGCAGAGAGTCTCAACTGCGTAAACTACTCAGACGCGCTCTACCCTCAGGTGATTGAGGGCACGTAGGAAATACACAGGGCGGGCGTTCATCACCAAGACATCTACCCCAAAAACCTTCTGCTGGTCCGTGGAAACCCCGATAGACTGGTCTGGATCGATTTTGACGTTGCAACGACCTTCACCGACTGTGATCCTGAACAGCTCGCCCGCTGTGACTATGAACTTGCGCTGGTGAAAGGATTCGCGGAGGCACTGATGCGTATGCTGTTGCCGGCTACGCTATAAGCATTTAGCGTGCTAGTAACTGACGGATACAGAGAGATGACCAGGTTCAGGGACTCCCGCCGAATACAAAGTTCTATTAAGGGTTCCAATTAGCTGTTACCATATCCTTGAGCTATACGGAGGACATGTATATTGTACCATTCATGTTCTCGTATTTCGGTGAAATCATCTACCTCAAGCTTTAATAAGACTATACTATACCAAAAGGTGGAAACAACCAGACGGCTTCTCGATAGCCAAGTATGATACTCAAAGTAAGCTGGGAAATTCCGTCCGCTAGTGTGACCCACCCCCGCGCTATTCCTTTGCTTATTTCTGACCTATATCGATGAACAGGCAGCTATATCGACGACGCGTCCATAACAAATGCTTCTATAGGATGTACTGTAGAAGTACATGCAATGACTCACTCCTGCGCTATCTCTTTGCTTGTTTCTGATTCATATTGATGATGACCAGGCAGCTATATCGACAACGCGTCCAAGCAAATGCCTCTGTACCTTACGGTGGAAGTCACTGCAATGACCCACCCCCGCGCTAATCATCTTGCTTAACTCTGACCATGCCAATACTGACCAGGCTGCTATATCGACGACGCGTCCATAGTAGATGCCTCTATAGGATATACTGTGGAAGTAACTGGAATCAATTGGCATGCTATCTAGCTGACTTGCAGGGCGTAAACACTATTTAAACATCTGTGTTTCCATCATTCTTGTAACGGCCTGGAACCTTCTTGATAGGACTTACCATCATCAATATCATCCTCTCTGTCTATTGTCCATCGCGGATTACCACATATACCACGTCCTTCACCGTTCACCATCTCTTACGAGGCTTGTCTATCTCAATACCCACAACAGCCTCATCCCTACGCCTACATTCGATAATTCTACCAATGTCTCCAGCTACGTTCTTTGTCTGCGGCGCCACAGGTGCCCAAGGAGGAGCAATCGTCCACCATCTTCTCCAGAAACAAGCCAAAATCCGCACCACCACCCGAAACCCCGACTCCGAGAGTGCCAAAGTTCTCCAGACCCTGGGGGTATCCATCACCAAAGGCGACTGGGACAACGAAGATGCCCTCAGAGAAGGCATCAAAGGCTGCGCGGGCCTCTTCCTCAACACGCTCCCCACCCTGCAAAACCCAGCCGCGGAGGTGGAGAGAGCACGCCGAATCCTCACCATCGCCAAAGAAGCCGGTGTCAAACACGTCGTCTACTCCAGCGCCTTCGCCATCCACGAACCAGAGCGCCTCGAACACTGGGACGCAAGCAGCAGAGCCGCCGGGATACTCCTCCAGAAACAGGCGATCGAAAAGGCAGTCCGCAGCGCGGGGTTCGAGTTCTGGACGATCATGCGCCCTGGCTTCTTCATGACCAACTTCCTGCCGCCCACGGTGCTGTTCTACGGCAACATTCCCGCGACCGGCAGCATGGTGTCGGCCCTGACCCCGGAGACGTTGCTGCCGTTGGTGGATCCGAATGATATCGGTAAATTTGGCGCCGCGGCGCTCCTTGAGCCTGCACGGTTCAACCACGCCGAGCTCACCCTTTCGGGCGAGCTGATCGGCGCCGATGATGTGATGAAGGCACTGTCGGACCTGACTGGGAGAGATCTAAAGGCAGTCTATCTGTCCGAAGCGGAGATCGAGGAGCGGACTGCTCAAAACCCAGTTTTTGTTGCGCAGAAAATGATGCGGACGATGTCGCAGTTTCATGACTCGCAGTTGTCGGAGAGATGGGGGATCCCGACGGGGAATTTTGCAGAGTTTCTGGAGAGAAAGAAGGAGAAGTTTCTGGCTGTGTATAGCCAGGATCAGAAGTAGGGAGTGGTTGATTGGTTGCGGTTGAAGTAGATAGATATTGATCAATACAGTTGTTTGTTCTCTGAACTGTCTTGCTTGTAGAGCCCATTTGGGCATGCTCTACTCATCAATTGCTTCCATGGTCTAGCGGTTATGACATGAGTCTCATATAGAATTATATGACGCCAAGGAACACCTTGGTGAGCCATCTCAGGGTCGTGGGTTCGATCCCCACTGGAGGCACTTCTTTTTTCTTTTTCCTTTTTTTGCCTGTAGATATAGAACTATCAGTGTTACTGTTTTTATTTTATTTTATTTTTTTTTTTTTTTCCCTCTTCAAGTTTTGTTTTTTTTTTTTTTCGCCCAGATTGTGTTTCAACCAGTTCATACAATAGTACGAATATATCTAATAGAAAGCATAAACCGCAACATTGAATCGGTCAGCCCAGACACCAACCACCATCAGACGAATCACCTGACCACTACCCAATCCAGCCTAGCGTCGTCCAAGCGAGCACCAAAGGCCCACACCGCCCCGGCGGTCGGATCGGGGGCAAAAAAGCACACAACGCCAAAAATCCGTCCCCAAACCCTAACGGAACGAAAGAAAGCCTTCACTCTTTCGCTTCATCCACACCCGCCCCCCCCAGCGAACGACGACCGCCAAACACCGCCCCAACACACCCCTCCCCCCCAGGTTTTCCTCGCCTCACTTCGACCTTCAAGATGACTCACGAGTCTGTGTGGTACAGCCGTCCTCGCAAGTATGTTTAATCCCCCGGATTGAAGATGTGGTGTTGGTGGATGAATTCGATGATGGACGGTTTGAACTAATGTCTTCGCTCGATAGGTACGGCAAGGGCTCCCGTGGCTGGTGCGTTTTAAATCCTTTTCCTTCCCTACAGATTATGCCTGCATTTTTTAGCGACTCGAAAACACGACAATTGGATGTGGATGCTATGTGATGGGAAACGATCGGACAAAACGGGTTAATGGGATACGGATGAACTGACTTCTTTTCTCTGGAATAGCCGTGTCTGCTCCAACCGTGGTGGTCTGATCCGCAAGTACGGGGTATGAATAAACCTGTTTGATTTGAATACTTGGGCGCATGAAACGGCACAGGGTCCGGACTTCGATGCTGACAGGTCTATCTATAGATGAACATCTGCCGTCAGTGCTTCCGTGAGAAGGCCACCGACATCGGCTTCAACAAGGTTGGTTTCCTCCTTCTCTCCATCCTGTGTCGCATTTTCGCATCGAGATGTTCTACCTCGAAACACGACCTCTCGACTGCGCAAGCACACAACACCAAACAAAACATATACTCGACAGAAACTAATATCAACAACAGTACCGCTAAATTACTCGCTCATCTCTCTATCCCTGTTCACGAATTCATTCCGTCATGTGCTCGGCGCCCCGGTCTTCAAACCAACCCCATGGGAGGAACCAGGAAGGAAACGAAAAAATGAAGAACTAGACGGGAAAGAAAGGAAGAAAATGAGGATAGCGTTTGCTGGAGGGAGGAAAAGAAAGGGCGATTCTTTTCAGATTTTATCTTAATCTGAAATGAAAACCAAAAACGGTGTCAAATGTCAAGAAACAGTTGTCGGGCGCAATTTTCCCCTTACCTTTTCCTAACTTTTCGGTCGTTTTCTTTTTCCTTCTTCTCCGTCGGTTCAAGAATATTTGAATTGAAATGAGGAATTTCTTATAATTGTTATCTCTTCTCTCGCCCTTGGTCTGCTTTCAGCCATGTCTACATGTCTACATCCGACAGACTCGAAACGCGGTATCCGACAGCTCTTCGATATCTCTACCTTGAAAGATAATCGACCTATACGATGCATGCAGCCTTACGCATATGGGCATAACTACAACAGCCGGACAGATTGGTACTCACCCTCGACACAATCTCCCAAGCCCATTATCGACTGAGCCCGACGATACGCACATTTGCCTTGTCCCCATGCAGCAGCGCGGTGCCCGTTTGAATCCGTTGAATAGGTCTTTGTAGTATATCCGGTTTGTGTACGGTCGTAGAAATCGGTACAATAATCACATTGTGCCAGTTACTGAGGGCCTGGACTGTTTGTTACAGTAAACATAGACAGAACTAATGAAACGTCTACCTTATCTAGAAGATAAGAAAATAGAACATGATCTGCAATATAATATCCAAACAACACAAGGAACTAGCATCTACTCCGGAGTATAATTGACGCCACGCTGGTGGCTATACATACTACCAACAACCACCGGCCAAACGCAGGAATAATAAAGCACCCATCCATCAATTTGAATCAGTTATTTATCTACTTTAACCCACCAACCAACTCCTACCAAACTCCACAACCGAATCCAGATCAAGTACATATATGCAAGACATGTCGAGCCACACAACGACTCATACTTTCACTCTCACTCTCACTCTCAATCTCAATCCCAATCTCCATTGGGGAGTGGGAAACGCCTACGACCGCGGAGAAGCCAACGACCGAAGATTATAGAAAAGAAGATAAGCGTCGGCGTTGAGCACATCAGCCTCTGTGACAGCCGTGACCTGGTCGTCGTTGAACAGCGCCCACTGGTCGCCCTGGCGGCAGTAGACGTAGTAGTGGCCTGCGTCGAGCTTGCCCTTGTGGACGACGGCGGAGGAGAGGTCGTAGATGAAGCGCGATTTGTCGACTTTGGAGTTGGGGTTCGTCGTGTAGGGGAGCATGTTGATTGACATGGGGAAGTCGATGCGGCCTTCGAGTTTTTCCGAGACGGAGAAGGTGTGTTCGAAGCGCTGGTGGATTTGTTAGATGTTGTTAAAGATTTGTGCTGTGGTGGCGGGTTGGGATGGGAGGGGACAAACCTTTAATTGCATGCATAGGATGGCTGGTAGTTTCTTGATGTGTAATTGCTTGGTCGCTTTCTGGGGGGTGTTGCCGCACCCGCTGCAGTTGTAGACATCGGCCATTAGCTTCTCTGGCGAGGTGAAGCTCTCGAGACAGCCGCTGAGGGTGGGCGGGGAGGTTCCGTTGCCGCCCATGGCGCGTTTCTTTGCCTGGACCTGGACGTCGAGACTGAGGTCTACCATCGGGTCCTCTGTGCGGGTGACGTTGCCGCATTTGTCGCAGGTCACGCTGCTGCGGAGCTTGCCGTAGAAGGTCTTGTGGAAAAAGCAGGAACAGCCACCTTCGTGACTGTCGTTGTGGTCGTCGGTGCTGGCGTGGAGCTTGTCAACGAGGAACTGATAGTACTCGTGTGCGTCCTGTTGTTGGTATCCCGCTAGCGTCTGGAGACTCGTCAGTCATTTTCCCATCAACTATCATCCTAGGGGCAGTGACTTACAGGGCTAGCGCGCCACGACGCCAGAAGAAGATTCAGCGCCGCGAAGCCCTCGGGCTTCTCGCTGCTGTTGAAATCCGCAAACGCCTCCGCAACGGCACACCCGATACAATCATTGGCGTTGCACTCGTGGATCTGGTGCCCATTTCCCAGGAAATAGGTCGTGAGGATGGGATCATGCAGCAATGACTGCAGGATGACGTTCAGGTAGCAAGTCTGCCCGAGATTGAAGAGTCCCCTCACTCCTGTCTTGGCGCAAGGACGCTTGGTCGCGTTGCTCCTGATGTACAGCTCGTCGCTGGAGCTGTCGCTAAATCGCCGTTTCTTGGCCACTAGATGGCATTGTCAATACCTGAGGCAGCACTGACACGAGGGCCGAGACGTACCTTCTAATGCGCTCTCGGGCGGGGATGACCGCAGTCGTTCCAGGCCGTAGTCGTAAACGAAATCCCCGCAGCCCTGACAGTAGAGCAAACGGCCTCGTGACTCCATGTCTATACAGAAGGTTAGTCAGTCCGTGGGTCTGTCGGTCCATGTCTCTCGACAAGATGGGTTATCCCTACAGAAAGAGTGCCCCGTCTTGTCCGCGTGGGCTTTTCGCTCGTTACTCAAACACGTATCGGCACATGTCAAGCACATGTACTTGGGCTTTAACAGGGTCGAAGCTCGGACAGTCGGGTTCTGCTTGAGCGCCGTCTCGAGCGACTTGGGATGGGGAGCCAGCGCATTATGCGCTTTGATGAACGAGCCCTTGAACTGTTCGGCCACGCCGGGATTCTGCCCCAGCTGCGTGGCAAGATGCTCTGGAACAAACGGTCAGTATCCGGGTCATACCTGTACGAGGGTCACTCCGGGGTGGTTGCATACCGCAGCCAAACTCCGACTCGGAGAGAAGCGACACAGAGATGACACTGGCCATGGCGAGACAGGTGCGATGGAATACGAGGTCTGGAACAGGACAGATCCGGGGGAAAATTGCGCGCAGGCTCACCACCGACCGGGTGGAGTACAGGACCCCAAAGGATGATGCCGATAAAGATCACCGGAGGTTGCCAAGGTTCCGTACGTGGACGCTAAAGACGGATGATGGCAGAACGGTTGAAGGGGGTGTGTGTGAGTTCTCGAGTTTCAATTGCAGGTACCGCAAAAGTCTATCAATTGTAACACCTTCAATCAAGAGGTCTTGTTGGTATGATCACATCCACATTGTGTGCTACGGAGGCCAGCCTCCAGTGAAGAGTGTGATAAGGTGAATCAGAGGCAAAGGCACGGAGTACAGTCGGAGTCTTCCCTAACCGCAATTTGGTACACGCTAATCTACTTACAGTAACCCCGTATCTTTGATTATATCACCTATATATTTACAAAGTATGAAACAGGCGTGCAATGGAGGATAATTATTGGTCTGAATAAATTGCTTTTCTTCTTAATTACTCTGTACATACAGAATACTACCATGAATCTAGTCTCGCACGTGCATCACATGACCTAGGGCAGCCATCAGCGGTGAAAGTCATGCCAGTCTCCCAGAGCCGTGTCTTCATACATCAATTGCGGCGCATGTGAAATGGATTTTGACAGTCTTGCCAAACAACAGTCCGATCGGATCTTTCAGGTGTGGGTTCAAAACCTGCTTGGAAATTCACCAGAAGAATTGGCCGGCAAGCTTGCTGCCCGGCATTGCCCTGGGACACCTGCAACGGCGTCGCTGCTCTCGAATGGCGCTTTTAATATTTGTTATCGAGTAACCTATGAGAACGGCCTACGCGTTGTAGTTCGCTTTGCCGCCCTGGGTCGTGCCGTTGCTCGCAAGGAAAAGGTCAACAATGAGGTCGCTATCATGCAATACCTTACCCAGCACACAACAATCCCTGTTCCAAAGGTCCTGGGATCCGGAAAGTGCG